CGACGAAACCATTGGAGAAGCCGTTGTTGAATAGGACCTGCCTTACCCTACAGAGTTCTTCGTCGACTTGCTTCCATTCTGAGCTGTGGCTGAGAGCACGGTCGACATATGCGTTAACAACACTCCTCTTGTACCTATCTGGGCAGTCGCTTTTGGCATTTAGGCACATTCCTATGTTCGTTTCCTTAGTGTAGACTGCAGTGTGGAAACCTCCGCTCTTTTCCATGACTGTTGCATCTAGAAAGGGCAGCTTCCCATCCTTTTCCATCTCGTAAGTGAAACGAAGCACGGAACTCCGCTCAAATGCCTCCTTCAGCTCCTGCAGATGTCTGACATCAGGTACCTGTGTAAAAATGTCATCAACATACCTGCAGTATATGGCCGGTTTCAAGTTCATGTCGACTAAGACTTTTTGCTCGATGGTACCCATGTAGAAGTTTGCAAACAGGACACCTAGGGGAGAACCCATGGCGACCCCATCTACCTGCTTATACATGTGCCCATCCGGGCTCAAGAAGGGTGCCTCTTTAGTACAAGCTTGGAGTAGTTTCCTTAGGATATTTTCTGGTATGTCAAGAGGAGTACAGGCTGGATCACGATACACTCTGTCGGCTATCATCCCGATTGTCTTGTCCACTGGTACGTTGGTGAACAGCGATTCTACGTCCAACGAGGCTCTTATTCCTGTGGCCCGTGCGCCCCGCAGTAAGTCGACAAATTCCTTTGGCGACTTCAGGCTGAAGGCGCAAGGGACATAAGGAGTCAGCAGGCCGTTGAGTCGCTTCGCTAGTCTGTACGTGGGTGTGGGTATCTAGCTAATGATTGGCCGAAATGGGTTTCCAGGCTTGTGTGTCTTGACATTTCCATACGCATATCCAGGTTTATATTCCCCAATAATCTTTGGCAGGCAGGTTTCGTCGAAGACATCATAAGAAGGAAAGTGAAACGCCATGCAACCTCTGAAGAGACAACCAACACAACACCTATACCCCCTATTAGACTATTTTACAGGAACTTCTTTTCCACAGCTCATAAAACGGAGGAAAGGGTCCTGAAAGATATTGTTAATAGAAACGTTATCCCTACAGACAAAAATCAGAGGATACAACTGACGATTTACTATAAAACCAGAAAAACGGCCAGCCTACTCATGAGAAACTCTCCAGACACAAAACAGAACGCTTTAAAAGAGACCAACGTCGTCTATGCCTTCAAATGCTCTCTTGGGGACTGTAAGCTCCAAAAAACCCAGTGTATAGGCAAGACAACAACATCTCTTTCTAGGCGTTTAACGATGCATAAGCAACAGGGCTCCATTAAGGAACATATAATCTCTTTCCACAACCAAACCATCGCCAGAGAAATCCTAGTAAACAACACAGAAATCATCCATAGATACAGCGATAGCAGGCGGCTTGACGTTTGCGAGGCACTACACATCAAGAAGTCAACACCAGCAATCAACAGCCAATTAATGCACAACTATATTCTACCCACCTCAAGACTCCGCTCCAATATAGAAGCATCAAGAAATATGGACCAATAGGCTTTCTACAATCACTTCTATTCAATACCCATTGTTTCGTGTTCTGTCTTGTGTTGATGAAATTAATACCCTATTAAATACCACCTCACCCCATCCACCTCACTCAAATGTAGATATAAACAAATCGGAGATGTGTAAGTTCTATTCAGTTGTGTATGTTTAAACTAAAGTCTTTGAAAATGTAATAAGTTTTACGAAACGCGCTAAAGTGTCGCGTCAGACTAGAAATAAAAATGAATTTTGGAGAATTGATTTTTGAATTACCACCAACAGTGAAAAGAAATGTACGAAAGATTGAGAAAATTCGTGTTAGAATTATTAATCTTACTTTTTCGGTCATATTTAATAATATATATATATATATATATATATATATATATATATTCTATATATTTCTAATTCAAATTTTTGTAAAACAAATTTAAAAAATTGTTGATGTGAATTGTAAAAAAATTCAAAGCCATTAATACTATCAGCGTTTCTTGCATATTTTAACATAAGAACAGATGACACTGTAGAAGGCCTCCTATACATATCTCCCAAACTCACTCATATATGTATAATCTGCAACCCATCCTCCGCATTGACTGTACGTTTAATACTTAAGGTATTAAGTACACTTACTGTCACACATAGTACATATTTGCACTTATGGGGATGTTATATTTACCTCTCCAATCATTTTCCTCGTTTTCTGTTAAGTCACTCAGAATTTTAACATTTTCAAATTCACAAGTTTTAAATATCAGGAATTTCTTTTTCATTTTTATTAAATAATAGAGATTTTATACAAATTTTGAAAATATCTTGAGTGACTTTATAATTTATTGAAATATTTTAGTTTTGTTTTATAAAACTGTAATATCAATATAGCTATAGGTTAAGTAGTAATTGTAATTAAGAAGCAATAAAATGCTTATCTTCAAAATCTAAGAAGGTTTGGTTAGGTTAGGTCGTGGGTTTCTATTCAACTTTTCAGGTAAACTAAACTATTCACAATATATTTGACAGTGCGGTTTAATACTAAATAAAAATAGGTACAATTCCTGACTGCTAGGAATAGTACATAATTACACTTACTTGTGCTGTTACATTTACCTCCCCATTTTTGGAGGACGGGCTTCCATTTTATAGTACGACAATTTTTGGCTCTATGTAACACATTGGAACGAAAAGCGACGTACTTTGTAGGACAGCTTGAGGAAACACCCCTAACGTACAGAGTACCATAACCATCTCACCAGCGATAGCCTCGCAGTTTTATAGGGGTACAACCTCTGGTAGTGTTGAAAGAAGTGTTGACATAACTGGTAGTGTTGATATAGTCTGGTAGTCTTAGTCTGGTATTGTTGATATAACATAAAAATAGGATGAAAGACGTTAAAAAAAAAAAAATCGGATTTCTTTTAATGTTAAGATTCAGATGTTTGCATAAAAACTCACTCTGAATGAGTGTAGAGTTGACGACATCCTTACCCTTCCTCGTCAACTCATCGCTCTGACACGTGAAAATGTAAGGGAAGTTCCACACATCACTCACAGTGGATAATAAAATAGCTCATAGGATAATCAAACAATTGTTACAGGTGTACATATATGAGGCATTTACAAAGTTATAGTAAAAACACATCATAAAAGAGAACAACATTGATGAGACTGCAGTACAGTATACATTACACAAATGATTTAATAAACCCCATTATTAGCTTATGCACATTTTGTAACAGACTAGGCTGTTGTAAGAATTATCCAGAGTGGTTTATCGACAAAAGAGAATGGGAAGCTGAGCCGCATGGTGACCTGACCCCCAGGGGAATTCGCGGTGGAAATAACCGACGCTTTGTTCATATCTGCGTATAATGAATCATCCTATAGTATTCAGTAATTTAGAGAAAATTAGCCTTTATTCATTTTGCATTAAAATTGTATTGTATAATAGTACTGGATACAATATCAAGAGTATTCTAATTATTGAGTTTAAGTCACCATCAGTGACGTCACGAATCAGATCTAACTTTCGAGGCGGAGTGACCGGCGGTCATAGGTCAGCAGGGTTGACATGTCTAATATTTCTCAGTTTTAATAACCATTTTTGTGATCGGGAACAGCTCTGCCGTTAGAGGCTTGTGTAATTTATTTCAGTAAAATAATTCAACTAGTCTGGATCAATTAAGTACAACCGAGTTTAATTGTTATAACTTAAACCTTGCTAGTAACTGGGTAGAACTTTGACTAGGCGCAAGGATACAATGTTCTGTCTGGGGGAGACGAGACAAGGGAAAAATCAGTGTGAATACGGGAGCAGCTGGGAGAGGTCAAACATCTTACCTCTCCCCAAGACCACCCAACACCTAGAGCTGTGGTCGCCCAAGGTATAGTTGCTATTGTTAATTATAGGGATAGTCTTCTCATTTGCCACTCAGGTCAAGTAGGGAGTGTTAAAGTGATAGGGAGTGAACCTATTTAGATTTTGTTTTAGTTTTCTTTTAATAAATTAAATTTGTTATTAATTTGCATTTTATTGTTTCCATGTGTTTTATGTGTATACTTGTCCTGGTCACGTGGTCCACACGAGGCAGAGTTGCATTGGGCGCCGATTCTAACATCGAATCGGAATTATCATTACCGTGTAATTTATTCCACACTCAAGGTCATCGTTTATAGTGGGGATCAAGCCCCTAGGTTGATTAATTAGCGTGATCGATCCAGACCTCGATCATTGCTCTTGTATTACTGGTCTGGTGGTGGCAGCAGAGGTGACTCTAGGGTTTTGTTCAGAGCTTAGGTCACGTCATACTGGGTGTAGAATCCTAAGTCGGTCAATCGTCTTAGGACCACGTGGCGTGGAGTTGGCTTTGTTAAAAGTTTTGGAGTCCCTTGGTTTAGAAATAAAAGTAAGAATACGGGTAGAGGGAGTAGAAAGAAGGAAGAAAAGAGAGAGGACCCGAACCCGTGTTACAATTTGATTATAAAACATTACAAGTGCGTTATGTACCAAAACTGTTATAAACAGTACCTTGTATGTATTTTAGTTAAAATTATACCATATACACAGAAAAATAAATTTCAGAAATTAAACAATTACTGACATACACAAAACACATAAAATTACATAAATATATACAAAATTATTACATAAAAATATTGCATAAAGAATTAATCATTTGGATTATTACTGTTAAGTGGAATAATAATAGGATTTTGTTATCTTTAGTCACATAACTATAATTAGGTTGATAGCCCAGTATAATGAAGTGGCAGATCACCTTTGATGACAGGTGTTCTGAGATGATAATTATGTGCTGGGAGTTAGGGAGGTGTGCTACCTGGAAGATCCTGGCGAGGCTTAAAGAGGCAGTTGAATGCTGTTTTGGCAAGAGTTCTCTCCCACTGAGACCTTGTATTACAGGGAGCAATGATGGGTTGAAACCTTTCCTCTACTGTATCATCATCAAAGGTCTCTATGGTTTCGTTAGGCCCAGGCCTCTCTTCCTCTATCTCATCATCAAAGGTTTCTATGGTTTCATTGGGTGCAGAGATCTCCTCCAGTCTCGTCATCAAAGGTCTCTATGGTTTCATTAGGCCCAGGCCTCTCTTCCTCTATCTCATCATCAAAGGTTTCTATAGTTTCATTGGGTGCAGATATCTCCTCCACAGTCTCGTCATCAAAGGTCTCTATGGTTTCGTCAGGCCCAGGCCTCTCTTCCTCTTTCTCATCATCAAAGATCTGCATGGTTTTATCACATGGAGACCTCTTCTGTCTTTCATCATTAAAGGTCTCTTTGGTTTTATCGAGCAGAAAACTCTTCTGTATCTGATCATCAGGGGTTTGTATGGTTTTCCTAGCTTGAGACCTGTACTCTCTCTCATATATAAAGGTTTCATTGGGTCCAGATCTCTCCCTGTCTATCTCATTATCGAAAGTCTCTATACTTTTACTGGATTGAGACCTCTTGTGTGTCTCATCATCAATTGCCTCTATTGTTGTACTGGGTTGAGACCTCTTCTGTTTTTTATCATCAAACGTCTTCATGGTTTTATTGCGTTTATACTTCTTACATAGCTCATTATCAGAGGTCTCTACGCTCTCCTTCGATTGAGACCTCTTTTTTTCTCATATTTAAAGGTGCCTTTGATTTTACTGGGTTGAGAAGTTTTCTGTTTCTCATATTTTAAGGCCTGCATAGTGTCACTGTCATCAGGAGTCTCCTTTACATGAACATAAATTGTCTCTGTGGTTTCAACGAGTCGTGTATACTTGTCCAAAATGTCTGGGTGACCAAACGCTAGAGAATGATGAGGACTTAAAACATAACGTTTGTCATCAAACAAATATAATCCAAGTTTTGATCCAACACAAGTGCAGTTTTGTTCAGCTTCATTAGGTATTAATCTACTATTAAAATCATTAGAGACTCGACCGAATATGTCTTTTTTAAATTTATCATGAGTTAGTGCTGATTTATAATGAAATGGTAAGTCTTTGGTTCTGTCTGACTGCTGCTCTGATTGCACCATCATGGAAAACATTTTAGGTTTTAATGCCACAACTTCAGAAATGAGTCTTTCACCTGTCACAGATTTCAAACGCCCTGGGACCCCTTTAAAGCTATCATCAAACAATGGGTGATCTTTGGAAAAATTTGAGAAGTCCATGCAAGACTTAAGAGGTTCCGATCCTAGCTCATTATAGACATCTTCACACTCGAGTGTGAAGATATAGCTGCTAGTGTCTGTGTACACCAACTGTGCTCTTTTGCCATAGTGTGCCTTGACTACATTGTACCAAAATTCGTACAGCATTTTTGTAGCCGTCTGAAGAATATGGAAATGAATATATGTGGGCTGGTCAATGAGATGTTTCTTCATACTCTTTGTACAAATCATCCGATCCTGACTTACAGGTGTAACCCATTTTGTACAAGGATTACGAGCAAACTTTAAAAATTTCTTTTCATTTATAACGAAATCGTGGCAATCAGAGTATTTGTTTATGTTCATTAATGACTTATCAAAGATTAGACTATTTACATAATTTAAGGCCGAACATTTTTCTTTATCAGTGGCTTCGATCCGTTGATTAATATTAGTATTAAATTTCTCTAAAACTTTCAGCTTGGTGAATTCATACACGGCATGAACACATTCAACTTCCAAGCCAAGTTTCATCAAAAGTTGCAGTAAATCTAAGCTAACTAAATAATTCTTTTGTGGTAGATGTGAGGCCACTAATTTTGTGTTTGACTTCGGTAATTCATAGCTGTTAGACTCAAGAATTCTATTACTGTATTCAGAGATCAATTCTCTCTGAACATTTCTATGGGCGAAAACTAATGGTAGTTCATCTGTTTCCTGGGCTACACGAGGACTTACTTGCTTTGTGTCACAAAGAATCCAATACCCTTTGGTAGACTTACAGGAATGATTTTCAAGTCCCTTTTCTACAAAAAGTTCTTTTTCATCCTCAGGCAATTTATGTATATCGCCTCGGGGCAACTTTTCCATCATACATGTAAAATACAGATTATTGAATTCCAAATATACGATATACTTTCCAACTGCAGAGTTAAACTGTGGATTTAGGTGTATATTGTCTGCTTGTGAATACTGTTTTACTACACTGGTAAAATCCTCTTTCAGATTACCTTGTATGAGATCATATAATTCATAATCGTGAATAGCATCAAATTCAACTTTACTGTTCAAAAGCAAAGCATCCCAGGCAAAGCTAGACAAAGACTCATAATATGCGACATCTAGCTGATAAAGATCAATCAAAGTCTTTCTCCAGCTTGTGAAGACATCACATAATAGACCAGTGTTAACTTTCAAATATAGTTGTAAGTAGTCTCCAAGGCATTTACAACCTCCAAGTTCATAAACACGTTGTGCATGATCATAATCCTCTGAGGATAGCTGGCTATCATTTAAGTGACTGTTAAAAGCTTCAAGAGGAGGGAGTTGTTCCTCTTTTAAACAATCAATGTTAGAAACATAGTCATTGCAGAAAAAAAGCTTTTTACTTAACACAATTGTTTTAGCCTTGCTGGAAACTTCATCCATCATCATATGAGTGTACTTTAATGATTTACCATCTTTAACATGCTTCTCTGCCAAGTTGGCTAAGTTACCCTTCAAGAGATATAGGCTATTCACGAGGCAAATATTATTATCAATGCTTACTTTCATCAATTTAAATTCCTGGGTAGACTGAACTAAAATCTCTCTCTGCGGCTCTAAAGCCAATTCTGCGAGAATAATTCCAAAGTCATTTGAAGTATCACATGAAAACATATTAAGAAAACGGTTAGCAACCAAACATTCAAACTTGCATTTAAGGCAATAGGCAGTTAAAAAGTTATCGTACTCTTCATTGTACTTATGATGACGATACTTGTCTTTTGGATTCTTAAAGTCATTCAGGCAAAAACCGCATGTAGTTTGAGCACGATACAGATTCTTGGATTTGTTTGTCATGTGTACAGGATAAGTGCGCAGCTGAGCCTTTACGCGCTTCCAAGTCTTTTGCACTTTACTGACAAAGTGATTAACTGCATCAGGACCACAGTAGGAGGATTTGTCTGCAACAGACCCATGTCTGTCTATAATAATATATGAATAAGCCACAGCCCTATGGCTCATCTCTGTCATGCCTTGGGAGTCTGTTTTGTTTAGTAAACACTCAAAGCTATAAAAGCCTACATGAGATGGACTGTATGGGGAATACCGTCTTCTAAATTTTATTGTAGTGTCCGGGGGATGCAACTCTAGAGTTTGTTGAGCATCACATTTTTCTTCATGTATAGAAAACTGTTGCTTATTGTACATCTGCATTAAGCAGATGTGACAATAAATAGGATTTTTTCCCTCTCTCTCTGGGTTGCTCCTCATGTTTTTAATATATTGATTAAAGTCCTTGATAAGAGCCACGTGTTTGTCTTCTAATAACAATAGTGGAACAATTTTATCCCTGTAGGCAGCATGACCTTTCCTAGCCAAACTGATACTATATTTACCACTGCTTTTGACAAGTAAATATATAAATATACTGACTTTATTTAAGGTTTCAATTTTAGAGAGATTTTCCCATGATAAAGGCAAATCTAAGTTATCAGTCTTTATATATTTTCTACACCTGCTTTCTATTTTAATTATGGTCCGAACAACGCCCAAGTTCTTGCCACTAGAGAGACACAAATATGCACAAATGCACTGGATTAAGCATGACGAACTGGCACTTTTAGGATTTAAAATACATTTCTTGCCTCTAATAGTTGGATAAGGGACATATGTTCCTAAGCGAATAGGATGTTGAACAACCATAAAATTCATATGAAAGCTAGTGACACTATGCACTGTGATTCCAGACACTTCAACTTCAGAGAGCTGCTTCTCCAGTCCAGTAGCTATAACATTTATCCATGATTTGACGAGATCAGTAATGTCTTCTAAAGTCACATCACGAATATTGATTTTGATGTTGAAATCATGCACAATGGGCTCTCCTTCGGCACTGTTTCCTTTAAGTTGTACATAAACTTCAGGAAAGATGCGTAGCATAGGTGGAAACCGCCCCTGATAACTATTATATACATTTGAGATGTACTTTATGAAAAATATTTGGTAGTTACATATGTATAATAATGGGTCTATTTCAACATTTTTAGGAATTCTGAAACTATGGCGTATGTATGATCCTTGAAAATGATGTTGAACTTGGATTAATTCTGGCTCTTGGTTTGTTTTAGGTGAGAGTGGGGTAGAGTGGTCACTTTCATGGGAAAGTTGATGCTCATTCTCACTTGGAGATGGAGAGGTGGTGATGTTATTGTCTTGGTACCCACGTGTGCTCACTGTTGGCTCGCTGCTGGATCTCTTCATCCTTCTCATTATGGCCTTAAGTCGTGTGTCGCTATCCTCATTGTCTATAAAAAAATTATATATTCAAATACCTTTGTAAAAAAATCATGGTGTACTGTAGTAGTAGTAGTAGTAGTAATGAAACCATAGCGAGGAAATTTTAATTTTGGCAAATAACTTGCTGGGGTGTCACCTGCTAGACCAAAATTTGTGTCATAGAAAGTCGTACTTAAGGTGATATGTCAATTAAGTGTTAGTAATGTGTTTGACAGTGTTGGACGTTAGTTCTTGGATCCGCCTCTAGATGTTATTCTTTGCAAATTCATTAAACAGTAGATTTATTAAATTTACAACCATGTATTTTAGATGCATTAAGAGGAAAAGACAGTTGAGGGTTGTAGCTCCTGTCTCCCACCTATGTTCTCCACTGTATTTTCATAAGTATTCATCCAATCTTAAAATAAATATTTATTTAAAAATAGTTACCCGTGTTGATTCTGTCCCCCCCCCCCCCTCCCATCATTGTTTTCTTGTGTATTTTCGTTATTAGCTTAATCCAAATTAAATTAAAATATAGTTAAAAAGACAGGAAATAAAAGTAGCCATAAGCTCTTGATACTCTCATTGCAAGATATTTATCAAGAAACTGTCTCTCAATTCCCACAGAAACAAGCAACACTTTTTTTTTTTTTTTTTTTTTTTTGAGATATATACAAGAGTTGTTACATTCTTGTACAGCCACTAGTACGCGTAGCGTTTCGGGCAAGTCCTTAATCCTACGGTCCCTGGAATACGATCCCCTGCCGCGAAGAATCGTTTTTTCATCCAAGTACACATTTTACTGTTGCGTTAAACAGAGGCTACAGTTAAGGAATTGCGCGCAGTAAATCCTCCCCGGCCAGGATACGAACCCATGACATAGCGCTCGCGGAACGCCAGGCGAGTGTCTTACCACTACACCACGGAGACTGACTGACTGACTTAGTGGGCCAGCCCACTAAGCATTCCTGTGCAGCTTACGGGCTGCACAGGAATATCCCTGCAAAAAAATAAAAAATAAAAAATCCCACAAGCACAATTAGGTAAGCATAATTAAGAACCCATGCTTCCCCCTCATCCACCCCTGCTCATAACAGGTAGAACAGGGGTTGTACCTGTTGGTACAACTCCTTTCTCCCTCCCTCTTCCTCCATTCTTCCCCTTCCTTACTCCTCCTACCATTCTCCCTTCCATTTTATCCTACTTCCTCTCTACCCTACCCCGTCTTTTCCCTTCTCGTTCCTTACTTCTCCCTCTTTCTTCTCTGCCTACAGTCCCTCCACACTGAGTCCACCATCCAGCCTTTAACACATCCTCCTTCAGACTGTCTCCACCTAGCTCCGCTCCCTCACTGCGATCCTCCTTCCCCCTTCCCGCACACATACCTTCCTTGCTCACCTACCTCCCACTCTTTCCCCTCCAACTTGCCCATGCCTTGTTTCTTCCCTCCCTCCCCAAACCCAATAAGAACACATCTTCTTGAGATGATTTGATTTTGATTTCACATACACATACAGACATATTCTAACTCATTTACTTAAGCATATGCGTAACTTCTTTATATGTTCTCAACATATTCTGTATTTCTTTAGAACTAATTTATAATCTACAATATGTAATATCACTATCAGTTAACAAATTAAGCAACTTTACTAAGACATTTGCATGCACGCACAGGAGGGGGCAAGGGATGCTAGGTGGAGGTGACTGAAGGAGGAAGTGTCGAAAGCTGGATGGAGAACTTTAAGATAAGGGAATCTGAATCTAGGTAGAGAAGGGAGAGGTTAGAGTAGAGGATTGGGAAGGAAGTTGAAGGACGTTGTAGTAAGGGAGTTGTGACTAGAGGTTGATGATGCGGAACGTGGGTACTTATCTAATTATGCTTGCAGAATTGAGAGACTGCTTCCTTGAACTATGTCTTACAACGAGAGGATGAGGAACACCATGAACTACATTTATTCCATGTCTCAGTAACTATAATTTAATTATAATTTTAATTGAGTAAATAATAACAAAAATACATGAGAGCTATGATGGGGAGGGGGGGGGGGGGACAGGAGCAACAGCCACAGATCTAGCTTTAGTCCTTCTTCCTCGTCATGTGTGTAACTATTTTAAATGTCATTAAAATTGGATGGACATATGAAAATACTGTGGTGTAAGGCAGGGATGAGTGATGCAGCCTAAACCCACATCCAAAATTACGAAAAACGTCGTCTAAAAACGACCATTTTAAATTTCATAAAATTACGATGCCTATTAAGGAAACTACAACGAGTAACGTGTAGTTCAAGTATGTGTATTGAGATAGTAAGATACATCTCTTAAAGGATAGAGTAACTTAGACTATTTCTACCCTCCAAATAATATTTGCAATGTGGGCCCAAGAACTAACCCTCATTTTCATCCACATGACTGGCACTTATTTGACATATCACGTTAAGCACAACTTGCTACGACACAAATTTTGGTATAAAACGAGTGACACCCCAGCGAGGAATTTGTCCAAACCAAAAATTCCTGGCTGGGGTGTTGTTACCCTTACTTATATTAATTAAGTTTATTGATTGATTAACGGCAAGGTGTGTTGTACAGGAGTTAAAAAATAAATTATATTATAGAGCGGGGATCCCAGCGTTGCATGGGTCTGTCTCCCATCTGTCATCTTACCATTCATCTATTTATCTATCCATTCACCTATCTATCCCAAAATCTATTTTTCTATCAATCCACCCATCCATCAATATATCCTTCATTCTATCTGTCCATCTATCTATCCATGCATCTATTCATCCATCAATCTATCTGTCTATCCACCCTTCCATCTATCTATCCATCGATCAATCTATCCGTCTATCCACCCTTCCATCTATCCATCGATCAAACCAGGTATCCATCCATCTATCCGTCCATATATACAGCGATCCATCTTTCAATTTATCTTTCTATCCATCCATTTGTGCAACCGTCTATCCATCAATATATATCCATCCATCTATTAATCTATCTGCCCAATCAATTACTAATCTTTCTATCCATAATTATCTATCCATATATATCTATCCATTTATCTACCTATCCATCTACTCATCTATTTATCTATCCAACCATTTATTCATCTACCCACCCACCTATCCATCCATCTGTCTACCGACCCATCTATTCTGTCTTGGTTGTAAGCTATGAAGCTGTGGAAGAATGGTTGGTTTTATGCGACTACGGGCAAGTTATTGACAGCAGGAAAATTCTGGTAATTTTACCAAGATCAGTGAAAAGTGGTGCATATTACTGTACGAAATTGTGTTGAAAAAATTTGTTTGTAATTATTGAACTGTGTAGATGGCTGGCAGTGCCAAAAATCATCATGGAGGGTCAGAATGCTATTCCCATTTTTAATTCTAGTGACCCCGATCAGCCTATGTCTATCCTGTACCCCAGACCATTCACTCTGCCAATTTGGGTGAAGCTAGACCAAAGCGTCTGACCTTCAACTTTGAACACATAGACAAAAATTCTATTTTATTTATTCATTAAATTTGTTAAAAACAAAAACAAAACAAAAATGTAAACTAGGTTTATTTTGTGTTCAATGAGTGTGTGCGTGGGAGTGTGCATGCATAGCCCGTCCTTCTAAGGTATCTCAACGTCAAGAATCTGTCGTACTAAAGTGCTCTCTCCTAACCTGACCGGGGCTCTTGGAGACTCGAACCGTGGACCCCACGTGTGTAAGGCCGAAGTTCTATCGACCAAGGTATTGAGTAAGTCCCCCGTGGTGTAGTGGTTAAGACCCTCGCCTGGCGTTTCGCAAGCGCTTTGTCCTGGGTTCGTATCGTGGCCGGGAAGGATTTACTGGACGTCAGTCCTTAACTGTAACCTCTGTTTACCCAACAGTAAAAATATTGTTAAATCTGGTACCTGGTAAATATTGTTAAACTTTGTTATTGGGTACCTGGTTATTAAACGATTGGGAGGAGTCGTATTCCGGGGAACATGGGATTAAAGACTTGCCTGAAACGCTGCACGTGCTAGTGGCTGTATGTAAGAACTCTTTTATAACAAAAAAACAAATAGAGGACCCAAAACAGAAAACGGGAGAGTATGTCATTTTCGAGAGCCACTACCATTTCCTAGTACGACGTAGAGTATGCATAAAAATGCGATGCTCTATTAGGAGGACGGGTTGATGTGCATGCGCAGCCTGTCTTCCTAAGGTGTCCTAATGTCAAGAAACTGTCGTACTAAAGTGCAATCTCCTAACCTACCAGAAGACTCAAAACAGAAAACAAAACAGTATGTACATTTCGCGAGCCGCTACCATTTTCAAGTACGACAATTTTTGGCCTTACGAAAGAATGTATCAAACCGCGACGTTGTATTAGGACAGGCTGGTGTGTGTGTGTAATTACTTAAGGGTTTTGGCCTCCACCGCCTTCTCACCTAATTTGTTCCAACCGTCTACCATTCTGTTTACAAAGTGAATTTTCCTATATTTCTTCGGCATATTTTTTTTTAGTTAGTTTAAATCTATGACCTCTTGTTCTCGAAGTTCCAGGTCTAAGGGGTATGTGTGCGCGTGCATGTGTATTCACCTAGTTGTGCTTGCGGGGGTTGAGCTCTGTTCTTTCGGCCCGCCTCTCAACTGTTTTCTAACTACTTTTGTGTGTGTGTGTGTGTGTGTGAAGTGTACTTACTTGCAAGGAGCGTCTCTGCAGGAAGCGTTGGTTTGAGGGTGAATGATCGTTTCAACGAAGAATGTTTGCCAGAACCTGTTGGGGAAGGAGAGTGCATGTTATTCCTACTTACACCTGCGCCATCACACTCTCCTCCATTTCCTAAATAACATATATATATATATATATATATATATATATATATATATATATATATATATATATATATATATATATATATATATATATATATATATATATATATATATATATATATATATATATATATATATATATATATATATATATATATATATATATATATATATATATATATATATATGTGTGTATATCACGAAAATAAACACGTGATTAAGAATGTGACAATGTCAGACCACGAAGGAAAAATGAAACAGGAAATTTCCTTAAGTACTTTCGTGACCTTCTGAAGATGTATTTAATATACGAAAGTACTTAAGGAAATTTCCTGTTTCATTTTTCCTTCGTGGTCTGACATTGTCATATATATATATATATATATGTCGTACCTAATAGCCAGAACGCACTTCTCAGCCTACTATTCAAGGCCCGATTTGCCTAATAAGCCAAGTTTTCATGAATTAATGTTTTTTCGTCTACCTAACCTACCTAACCTAACCTAACCTAGCTTTTTTTGGCTACCTAACCTAACCTTACCTATATATATATGTTAGGTTAGGTTAGGTAGGGTTGGTTAGGTTCGGTCATATATCTACGTTAATTTTAACTCCAATAAAAAAAATGACCTCATACATAGTGAAAAGGGTAGCTTTATCATTTCATAAGAAAAAAATTATAGTAAATATATTAATTCAGGAAAACTTGGCTTATTAGGCAAATCGGGCC